GAGTTTGTCATGGCACCGAAAAAAATGTAGGAAAAGTAAGTAGTTGTTTAGAGGGGGGGGGGGAGAAAGCATCTCACCCTAAGATAGAGTCTTCCTTTTTTACTATATTAAATTCACTACTCCTCTGTAATATACAACATGTGTGCAACTAAATGCAGCGATCCCTCAAACTGTAAAGCCGGGACCACAGGTCATTTCTATTTTGAGGGCGGTATATATATATACAGTGATAACCATAAAACTCGGAAATAGAAAAAAAGACTTTTTGGCCCAAATTATGACTTTAAATAGTCCAATGAACATGAGACACATCAAATGTGAAGCGTAAACACTAAACAGACCAATTTCACTTGATAAGTGAATTAATTAGTTGCTAGTGAAACTATTTGTTTTGTAACAACATCAAATACACATAATTTTTGCCTTTATATCGTCTTCCTATTCCACAGTTTTCTGGTTATCACTGAATTTATATATTTGTCTTGAAGATGAATGTTTTGATTTTGATTTCATTAAGTTTATCATTGTGAAACAAGAAAGTTGTAAGACGGTTTAATCTGTTTGGTTTATCTTCCTTCTCCAGGTACCAGGGAGAGTAGGGGAGGGATTTAATCCGCTCTTGATGAGAGGCAACGTCCTAATATTTTAAATAAATATTTCTTTAAGAATTTCAGCAAAGAGAGAATAAGAAAAGCTTTGAAAAGTTGAAAACTTCGATCATTATATTTGTTAGTGCTTCTGAAATAGGAATGTTTGTGTAGAGTATCGTTAATCTTGAACACTTGATCTCGATATCCAGTGTGGGCATTTTTAAATTCGAGGATCAATGTCTAATCCCTGAAGATATCAAGTTATCTGTGCAGGGTATGACCCCCACGGGATATCAAAGAGGAATTAAATTAAGATTTACAAGAGATAATGAGATAAATACTTGATCCTAATAGGTAAATTTTCTTCACATGTCGCGTTTGATATCATAAATTAATCCTGGCCATTGTGTTAAAGTTCCAATTTGACGATAATAAAATATTATTTTATGCAATTTATATTATTCTATTTATATTTCATTCCCTTGACAAACCCTGTTTGGGAGAAGAAGGAAGTCTGAGCCAATGAATTGAATTTCTAATTAGTGATTAATCAGAGAGGACTTGATGAGCAAGAAGTGTTGGGGTGAGCCGTACTCTGAATAGCTATCGGAGAACATTGAACCGAGCGGAGAAACAGGGAGACAGGGATACTAGAATACTGGAGAATCAATTCAATCCTAATTACGGTCCAAGGAAGGATTAGGAGAGAGGTGGGGGCCGGGGGAGGGGTGGGATTAGAAGAGAGAGATATCTCTAATCACAATCCTTGAAATAAATAAGGAGAATTTGGTCTGGTGGTAAGGAATATTGAATCCGCGGGAGTAACCAAGATAGAGAAGACATGGTATAAATCTATGCATGATGATTTTTTTGACAAAACATTGTATTCTGGACCAGAATAAAACTATTTCTGTGATTTATATTATCCAAAAGGAATGAAAAGAATGTATATTATTTATAGGAACCCTTATTGTATACAAGCTTGGAAACCTAGCTTTGCCTGAAAACTAATCTTCCTCTATAATAGTCAATCCACTCAATAAGGAACCAAGCTGAGAACATTCCCGCGGATCTACTGAGTTCCCCCAATTAAAATTTGAAGCAAATCGGTCAAGGGATTCCTTGGTTATAATAAGGCAAAACTTTATATATGTATATAGATTAAAAAGAGATAGATACAAGGTTACCCACAAAGGATGAGACTGTAAAGACGACCTAAAAATCTTAAAATATTACGATCATGGGTTGAATTAAGTCTTCTGCCTTTATTTATTTATTATTATTTAATGATTTGGCAAAGAAGGAAAGAGGTTTATAGTTACACGGTTCATGAATATAAGGAAACAGACATGCAGTATAAAATCACTACAATCGTCTCATTCTTTGTGGGTAACCCTGTACTTGCATATATCTGAGATAAAATAAATATATTTAGAAATCATCTCTGATAGAATAATATTAATTTCCATTATCCCCCAATCATATTTATATTCTCTGATATTAAGTCTGATCATGGTTCGGAGTAAATGATTACTCCGGGTGTAAAGTTCACCTGGAGTTAATAAGATTACAGATTCTCTGGAGGGCCCGGGGATGTCAATCTATGCAAACTATTACATATTGTGGTTGAGGAGGTTGAGGTGGTGGGGGGGGGGGGGGGGGGAGGTAAGGGTCTCATGGGAGAAGTGAATTCTCAATATTATACAATCTACCAGTATTCCCAAGGATCAATATGAAAATTATTCTTGTCCCTTTTCGTTATGTACATGTTTTACTTCCTGTACACTGTACAGTGTAAACCTTGTACGTCCTAAATATCCTGTACATGTTTTGATTCCTGTACAGTGTACATGTTGTACGTCCTGAATATCCTGTACAACTTTTTTTTCCTGTACAGTGTACTACGTCTTGAATATTTTGTACATGTTGTAAGTTCTGAATATTTAGTAAAGGTACAGTTGTAAGTACGTAATGAATATGAATATCTACATCTTGGATATTCCGTACATGGTGCACTTAATTGATATATATCATATACATTGTACATATTATACGTTATGGATATCCTGTACATGTTGTACGTCCTGAATATACTGTGTTGTACAATTACATCCTGTAAATCTTGTAAATCCTATATATCCTGCAGTACATCCTGGATATCCTGTACAGTGTAACCTAAATAACTAGTAAAGTGTTGAGTGTACATCCTAGATATGCTGTGCATCCTTTTTAAAAAGTTGAATTCTACGTTTTTATCTTGATTTTGATGTAGACACATATTGTACACATGTACAGTGCAAACTGTACACAGTGTACGTGCACAGATGTACATAATTTTTTGAATACTGCTTGTCTAAGATAAAACACATGGTTAATTTTCTAATAACTGCAGGATGTTTTTTATTATTATACTATTAAATAAATTATATAGATATAATAAAGATTATTTAGATGAAGAATTAAGTAGCATTTGTTTGCAGCTCATGCAGGGGCGTATTCAGGGGGGGGCTATGGGGGCTAAGCCCCCCTGGACCTGTGTAATCTATGATTTCAGGGGGTTTTCAGGCCCCAACGGGTGCTGAGCCCCCCCTGGAAAGAAAAAATGTAAGCCGCCCCCCTGGAAAAATTCCTGAATACGCCCCTGAGTTCATGAAGTCAGCTGTTACAGCAAAGTTTTACGGTGTCAATTTCTATTTCTAACTAAATGTTTAAACAAACCTTATAGTAGGCGTTTCAGGGTAAGGGGGCAGCAGTACATTACCCCCCCCCCCCTGAGCAAAATCAGGGTGGGGTGTGCCAGGTGTACCCCGCCCCTGATATTTTTTAATTTCTAATTCTTATTTTTAAACAAACGGGTTCCTTAAATAAACGCCCTGTTAGACCTGTTGTGTGGTTTTTAATCATACAAATTGATAATTTCTCAGGAAACATAAAGAACTATAAAAAGTTGAATTTCTTCAACCAAAAATGAGAAAAATATGAATTTTACATATTTCTATGTCTGTATGTAGGGTGCAGAGGGGGAAGGTTTAGAATACAAAACTAATCCTTTGTCTTTCAAGAATTTTTCTATTTTATTGGTATCATTTACAGGATTTAACCTGGAGACAGGGTAATTTTGAATTTTATTGTTCTTTGGGGACGTATCCTCCCCCTCCCCTCCCCTCACCTCCTCCACCTCAGTTATTATTCTCCATCTGCTAATCCCTCCCCTCCCCCCTTCCTTTCCTTTAACCCTCACATCGCAGATATTTAAATTATAAAATAAAATAATTAAAAATATTTGATAATATTTTTTTTACTTTTAAAAATATTAGGCCCGTTTTTTAACTTTTACATTTTTTACTTTTTAGAGGCTCCAGCATAATTTGAGATGATAGTCCTATTTATAAATTGCATCCTTGTTAAGTTTGTCTTTTGTATGGCAAATGTTTACTCTAGCTGACTGAAGATATAACCCGAAATTCACGACTGTTAAAGTTCGAGAAAAATATTTTTAAGGGCTATCAGTACCTTTAAAGCCTAAAAAGTTAAATGTTCAATAATATACCTCAAAACGAAGTCCCTCCCTGGACATGTGATGATGACAAAATTGAATGGTTAAGATTAAAATTAAAAGTTTTGTTCGATTTAATAAAGGAATTGAGTCTTAGTCACAAACTCTAATTTTCTAATTCCTGTTTCTTTCCAACCCAACGTCGTAGACCTTAGATATTTCAAACTATTAATTATGTTTTATCATATAATCTCAGTCTAAACTATCAAAGGGTTACACCATCATGTTGCAAATATACAGGGATTATAAAATGTAAGTTTGTGGCAAAGACTCGATTCCTTTACAGTTTACTGCATGCACAGCTTCTCATAGATTACACTGAAATGTTAAGTAATGTTTATTCATTATAGCCACTCATCTCAGCATCTCTGCTCAACCCCATACCGGTGTCGTGCTAAATAGTGATTTGATTTGTTTTAATATTGTTTTAGTATTGTTTTAATGAAGGAAAATATTTCCAGCATTCTCTTTTAAACTTGCTTCTTCTCCACAACTTCTTAAATAATTCAATTTCCGTTTCTTTAAATGAGATCAAAAAAGATGACGGAAAATTTGTGGAGCATTTTGTATTCAGATTAAAGTCAAAATAGACCTAAATACTGACAGAATCCTAAACCGTTTTCCTATGATTTAATCTAGTCCCAAACCCTCTAAATAAAGATAGAAGACTCTATAATTCTTTCATTACAATTCTTAAGTCGTTAAAAGCATTTATCTGAAAAAAGTTTCACATTTAATCGTGGGATATAATTATAAAGACTATTTGTTAATATCCATCTAAAAAAGTGAAACCCATGTTATTAATTATTATCTTTTTCTTCGCTCTCTTTACATGTATGCAGTAAATTTTTCAAATTGTCAAGGAATTTTATTTATATAAGAATAAACTTAAAATCAACTTATTTTTGGTATAAAAATACAAACAATAGTATCTGTGAAGCAGTTCAAGCAGTAAAGTCCATTTTGTCAGGAACCGTGCAACCGGATCGTTGAATAATATGTGTTGCTGCCCAGATCCCGCATTTCACAGAAACTTCCAAAGATTTGTTCTGAACGTACTGGGCCAAAAATCCGCCAACAAAAGCATCACCAGCACCGTTGGTGTCAACAATCTTATCGGCGGGAAGTTTTTCAGCGGGAAATTCCAGAACTTCGCCATCCTTGACACAGACAACAGGATCGGCGCCCTGGGTAATGATAACCATACGGCTCTTAGCTCCGTTCTCCTTGGGCAGTCGGGCGATGCTCTTAGCGATCTCTCTTACATCCTTTGTGTCGAGGTTGTGAACCTCTGCATAGGTTGCGGCCTCTGTCTCGTTACCAAACACGATATCGGTGTAAGGGAGGACGGACATCATCTGGTCCTTGAAGAACTGGATGAGGAAGGGAGCGGAGAGATTCATGCAGTAGGTTCGGTTATCAGCAGCACAGTACTTAGCGACCTAAATACAAACATATCAAACATTTAAATCATGTAATTTGACAAATATCATTTTGGAGTTTGTATCTGCCATTATTTTCATTAAATATTCAATATGTGGGTATTTTTCAATTTTTCAAAAATCTATCTGACCGTTAAAACAGTTTTTTTTTATATATTTAGGCTTGGTTTGCTTAGTTCCAAAACTTATATAATTATAAATTATAAAATTATATTAGTAAAACCGATTTTAAACACTCTGAAAATTCAATTGCTTTTGTAGGCTTAACTTATTTTTTATATACAATTATGACATCAAATTGAGGCAATATTGTTTATTTTGCATCATGTAAAAAAAACAGTATCCTTTTTTATTTATAATTAACCTTCAGCATTGACTCAACAGAGACGGTAAGGAAGAACCCTGCGGAGTAGATGGTTTGAGCCTTCTCAACCACAGCCCAGTTCTCCGGGTTCTCAAGGTGGGATACTGTAAAGTGGTTTGCAGCATCTAGTTTTGTTACTAGGGACCTAAATGGATAAGTAAGGATTATAGTGCCAACAAACAGAGGACTGTATGATGTCTGTAATCCATTCAAATACGCAAGCGGATTGCTAAACTATAAATGGATATATCAGGAATATATGTTTATAGACTTTCCTAATCACTTTATCAGAATTTTGATAATTCTTGTATGCCTTCTTTCGGTATTCTAATGAATAGTTTTATATGGTTCTAGCTTTATGCTATTTCTTTACAATAGTTATCGATTTTCTAAGAACATTTCTTTTTTTTAAATTCCGATTTTATCTGTTTTTTTTTACAATTTAAATCCTCTTTGGCAACCTTGTCTTGTCTTTCCACCCTTTTCCGTCTTATCTTGATCTTTTACCTGTCTTGTCCTGTGATAAGAACAGCACACCGTCCTGTTGGATGTTCACTGGATTGATAAACTACATTTACTCCCGCCTCACGAGCCTTCTCCTCTAGGATTTTACTAGTGTCGTCCTGGGATAAAAACAAGTATTTTAAATTATGATTGATTAAAGGGACTGTAAGCGTAATTTCAAATAACCCTCCATGCAAAGATGACAATACCGATTTACAATGATACCAGGTTGAAACTTTAATCTGATAAAATATTTGGAATATTAAGTCGTTTTCGTCGGTCGAAATGTATTTAATTCTGATAATTTATCCATTGCTTCTTAAAAGCAACAAATGCTCAAGTCACTTTTGCAGAGAAACCACAAATGAAAAAATAGTTTGAAGACACAAAAAGCTTCGAAGCGGGTACCGTTGTTAATCAGGCATTGCCATCTTTGCATCGAGATTGAAAGGTCACTTAAAACTACGCTTTCAGTCCCTTTAAGAACTGCAATAATTGATCTAAAACTAATCATTTACAGTGCGCTTCGTTCAAATAGTTTATGTAAAAGTTTTATCATAAATGAATTTATTAAATTTTAATGAGAGTTTTCTTGTAAACATAAACAAGGCTCGGTTTGTGCCCGATATACTTTTTTACTAAATGTTGTTTGATTACAATGAAACAAGTTTCCAAGTTTCTAAGTTTCCGAGATTCCTTGATATTTTTAAGATTTAAAAATTTTGCATTACCTTTCCAACAGCTCCGAAGTATGCGGTAGCAAATTTCTTATTTAGGATCCATTGAGCTACCCTGATACTGTTCTGTGTCGCTCCTCCAGCTATATATTCTACCTGGAGATTAAGATATCTAGACTACTATGAAAAATTGCATAAATTTTCAAGATTTGGTCGACTTTAAAATGTAGCAACTTCTTGATTTCTTATTTGACCTCTCACATACTTTTTTCCAGTCCAATACATGTACATTTTGGAAACCTAAAAAGTCTTGTTTTAGCTTTGTCTACTTTTTAAGAAGTAATTTGTAACCTTTGGATCACTGTTACATGCAGTTGACAGGATCGGAGAAAATGGAACAAACAGCAAGTTCAACGCAAAGGAAGGACTGGTGAGATGATTGCAAAGGAAGGACTGGTGAGAGGATTGCAAAGGAAGGAGACTGGTGAGAAGATTGCAAAGGAAGGAGACTGGTCAGAGGATTGTAAAGGAAGGACTGGTGAGAGGATTGCAAAGGAAGGACTGGTGAGAGGATTTTAAAGGAAAGACTATTGAGAGGATTGCAAAGGAAGGACTGGTGAGAGGATTGCAAAGGAAGGACTGGTGAGAGGATTGCAAAGGAAGGGCTGGTGAGAGGATTGGTTTGTCTACCTGGTATCCGTCCTTCAGATCGTTGAAGATATTCTCCTCCTCGGTGAGAATAGCATCGTTTGATTTGAGATTATGTTTAGTCAGGAGTTCAGGTTTCACAGTGGCAGAAATATCAAGAAGTGGGTTTCCCATACCAAGAAGAGCTCCAACCTTTACAGGGTAAAGATATTTAAAAAATAGTTTTTTACTAAATTTAATAAATTTCATATAGTGAGAACTAGAAGCTGTGGAATAGGAAGACGACATTAAAATGATGATCAAGTGTTGTTACAGAGCTAATAATTTTACCAGTAACTTATTGAATCACTTATTCAGAGAAATGGAACTGTTTTGCACTACACACAACTCTTCTGTGTCATGATAATTGGAATTTTTAAAGTTTTGACTTACGTCTATAAGTCGTTTTCCTGTTTTAGAGTTTTTGGTGCTCACGATAAAGATATATTTTCCAATATAAAAGTTGCATCACTGTGAAGAAACTATATTGAATTGATGGATAAAAGTGAATAAAGATACAGAAATCTGTTGCAGAAGACGACATTTTTCAAAAGAAAGACGATATTTTTTACAGTTGTGAAAGAAATCATATTCAGAACACATCATTAAAGTTTTTAAATAGATATATTTAAATGTTTACTTACTTGAACCTCCATTTTTAAGTTTATAGCTGAGGAGGATAAGTTACAGATAAAACCTGAAATATTTAAATATTTTTTATTTCTTGTTATTAAATATAATCTGCCAAATTGTTTGAATAAATTGGTTTATATGATTAAAATGTAGCTGGGCGAAGGCAGAAACATCTTTAAACTTAATTAGTTTTTTAATTGTAGTTTGCAGCTGATTTTAAAAATCTAAAATCTGTTAAAGATATGTTGATTGTTTGAAAAATTCATGACCTATATAGACTAGGATTATATGTACATTATCTCCAGAATCAAGTGGAAATAAATAAGATTTTAAACTAATCCGAGATCCTTTAAAGAAATAATGATTTATATATTTTTATGATCTGGATACAGTCTTTTAGATTAATCACTACAAAACAATATTTTTTAACAAAAAGTTGCCATCCTGTCCTATCATAAGTCATAACTATCAACCCTTGTCTTAAAACATGATAATACAGGGTGTCCCATTAAACGTGGACATTTAGAGAAGACTTATTATCTGTTGTGGGGTAATTTCCTAGTATACGATTTATTTCATTGTAGAATATCTTACTAGTATATATAAATATATTTCAGTTTTTAACTTCACATTTCATTAAGAAAGAATTATACTAAACATAATGTTTCATGTCTCATGACGATCCAAATTCTTTGAACAACTATATATCTAAATGTATATTATTTAACTTTAATAATTTATTTTAATTAATTAATTAATTTTACAATATTTTAATATATTTATCTGATATCAGATAAAATTATTTTGAGATTTCTATAATTCTTGGTCCTCATTTTCTTCTTGCTCTTGTACATCTTTCAATCTTATTTCGGCTAATTTGAAAAAAAACTCTATATTGAAAATAACTGAGCTGGTTTGCATTCCTTTTTTATGAACTCTGTATTAAATTGTTTACTCATGAGTTACATCTGACTATGCAAAACACCAATTCCTGATACTTTCTTGGGGTCAGGGAGGGGGGGGCAAGCATCTCACCCCTTCCCCTACCTTGGCAGGGGGGGACGTCTTCCAATCCCCCATCTTTTCAATTTTTCCTGTTCAATTTTCTATTTTCTTCTTGCTTCTTGTTTCTTGTTTCTTGTTTCTACATTTTAAGGCCTCTCCAAATAGTTCTTTTATTATTCTCAAACTTGAAAGTGGTCACATTGGATATTGATATTAACGTTCAAGATTAACAATTCCAATTAATAATTATAAAATATAAACTATATACGTGGTACTCAAGGGCGTATACAGGGGGGGGGGGCAAGGGGGCAGTGCCCCCTAGACCTGTACAGGAGGGCGTAGCCCCCCTAAATTTATTTCTGTCGCGCTCTTGGCGGTACTTGCAGGTAATTAAAAAATTAGGCTCCCCCCTCCTCTGAAAAATATTTTTCCAGAGTATATATTTCTGAAGACATTGAAGGATTATTATCCACGATCGACGACCAGGGGCAGCTTATGATATTTTCCAGGGGGGGGCGAAATTCCCCCCTTTTGGAATTTTTAAAGGGGGAATTTGGTCATTTTTATGTCAAAACCTAGAGCAGCTGAGGGGGGTCGGGAGTTGAAAAATGTCTTTTTTAAATCTATTCTTAAAAATGAAAATTTATGGCCATAAGCCGCCTCTGTCGACGACTATAGCTTTAAAGCAGTGCAACAAGACCCTAAAATTTATGACAATTTCTAAGGGATCTGTCGTTTCCATTTTTTCAACAGTTAAAATGTAATATAGCTGTTTATGACAATGTACAATGAAACTTGATTTGAATTGTCTCATTTTTAACAACATGGAAGACAATGTTCACAATGATACATTAAAATGGATGAAGGAATTTTGAAATATTTTGCATGGATCCCACAATTGACGACGACCTTAAACTTATATATATTCTGCCAAAAAAATGTTCTTTTAGGTGTCTAATAGTTGATTTTGTAAGAGAGTAATAAAGTAACCTGTATTCTCAGAATATTTATTCTACAATGGGATAATTAAAACTTTTTTATATTATTATATATTCTACAGTGGGATAATTAAAACTTTTTTATATCATTATATATTCTACAGTGGGATAATTAAACCCCTGTTGTAGATGGAAAAAAGAGATTAATTAATTGTGACTTTTTTATTTAATTTTGTATTATTTACGAACGACACAAAAATAACTCAAGGTGTTCAGGCATATGTTATGATTTAATTTAAAGGCATGTTACGATTTAATAAAAATTCAAAGATGTTTTTTAAATTGAAATTATATCAGTTAAAATTATTATTTTGAATAAAAACTTCTCAGCAACTTTTCACTTCATACTTAGAATATAGTTTTCACTGATCAATGTAGATTATAGACATCACTGGAAACCTGAATTACAAGTTAGCTATTTGTTAGCTCCGTACCTAGCTCTGTACTGTAGTATGGATACCGGCAGAGTGAGAAATTTCAAAGTTTTCTTGTAGCTTTTATACAACCTTTCACCTTCACAAAATCGATTAAAAAATATTTTGAATCTGTATTCTGAAAATAAATGAATTTCTTTAAATTTACATTTAAATATTAATCAGATTTTGTTAGATAAATAAAAACACCCCTTAAGGTTTAACATGCGGTAAACTTGAAGTAGTAACTATGCGCATGCGTCAAGCCACCTAAGTATTAAGCGGCTTTCTATTACATGTTGCATAGTTCGTATACTGTATAATGTGTATATAACAGGGAATAAGAATAAGCAATGTATATGTGTCTACTGTATTTGAAAATTTCGTATCATTAGCGTACACAAGGCCCCCCTTCCCAAGCATCCTGGGGGGCCTACCCCGGCCTCTATGATTTTTTGAGAAATCAAAGATTAAAATCAGGTGTGGTACTCAAGGGCGTATACAGGGGGGGGGGCAAGGGGGAATGAGTGACCCCCTAGAACTCAGAGCTATCA